CAGTCCCGAGACCCCTCCGGATTCTTGAATCTGAGGAAGTAAGACCTCTATTTTCCTTCCGGAAGGCTGTCTTATACCCTTCACCGTTGTTCGCAAAGGCCTTGCAACTATTGTAGCGGCACAATAGTTGCAACTCGGAGCTGTCTCTGCTACTTCTACCTTTTTCTGATTCCGATTCTCAATTTTTTCGTTGTGGTCGTTGTCGCAATTATTGTTGTTGTGTATCTATTTCGGCTTTTCTCCAAATTGGCCGTTTTTGACGTTTCTTAGAATTATTACGTCATCAATTCAATTTTTTTTTTAATTTAGGAATTTCCGAATCCTTCAGTCCTCACGATTTGTCTAATCGTCTGAATAACGCTCTTAATCCTTCAAAACCGCCAATTCGGAAGGTTCGCTGCTAAACACTCGAAATTGTTGCATCTGCATTTTTGTCCATTCTAGTCGAATGTCACAGTCCGTCAGTGATCTCGTACTCAGGGGTCCGGGGGCCATGAGCTCACTGATTCTGCTTATAATTAAGCCTGTGGTCTGGGGTTGCCGAGACCCAGCCATGAGCTCACTGAATCTGCATATAATTAATAGCCTTCAAGCAGTAACAGGTTCGTCGAACCGATGTTACGAAAGACCACTTTGAATTCGCTCTTGTAGAAACGATTGAAAGCACGCAAATTTCTATCTTGACGCTAGCCGATAGTTATAGGATTTAACCTTACTCTCCGTCGTTATGTTCTTTCCGGTGAATGGTTCAACAAGGCTTTAAGCAACATTAAGTTATCAACGTTAGAAGCGCTGCTTATTAGACAGGAGAAGCCAGGACTTAATACAATTGCAGTATTTTGATTTATAAGTTTTTGTGAATAGCGTGTTTGACACTTTTCATGATTTTTGATCTTTCTATAATTAGAAGTTAGATGTTTAAACTTGAAGGTGCACTGAAAATATGCGAAAACGTTTGTTTAATTCACAATTTTAACGTAATCGATCAACTGAATTAGCAAGTTCATCAAGAAATTGAACTGAAACAGATTCTTTTATCAGATTCAGCTAATTGTAATGCAGATTTCTAGTTTCGAAGCATTCTTATCTTCCAATGTTTCAGTTTTGCCATGGTTGTCTCAGGTAGTAAGAATATGCTAAGCGTTGCTAAAACTGGCGCTTCAAAAAGGAAGGCAAACGCAAATTTCAAAAAACTGAACGATAAAGGTTGTAACAAAAATGTTTCGTTTATGAATGTGCATACCCCAGTTTTCCATAGAGGCGAATATTTACAAATTGAAGACGTCGTCAGCGTGGCTGACAGTCAAAACGAAGAATTGTATTTTGCTCAAATACAATTAATTTTACAGAATGATCTACGGGAATGTTTTGTTATTCTGAGATGGTTGATACCGATGTGCGACTACAACGAATTCCGACCTGGTTACTTCAAGCAAGGACCGATTGAGAGTGTTTTGCGGAGAATAGAATGTGTTGGGTTTGTTTGTCATAACCCTAGGCAACCTGAGGTTTTAACGACGAATGAGAAGTCAACATTCTAAAGATCCGTTTTAACAAACTGGATGCTCAATGTTCTATATATTTTGCTATATTTTGATCTTGCTAATATTTGACTATATTAGATTAGTAGTTTGTCCGAAAATTTGTTTGAAAGATTTTCGATTTTGAAGGCACATCAAAAAAATTTTGCGCAGAGTAAAAAACGTTTGAATGCATATTTGTTTTAGATGTTTTTCTTGCCTGAATTTTATCTCTTAATCCTTGCGGTTATCGCCGTAAACAACTTAGTTCACAGGAGTCATTTTTGTGAAGGACTTATGACCTTTTCATCTGGACTCATTTCCTTGAACCCTCATAGCAAACATTTTACCGCTACAAATAGATTTTGTGTTTAGGATTTCCAATCTCTGTCTTGTTCGAAAAATTTTTGTCGTTTAACCAATGGTCGATTGTAATTTTGCTAAAATTTCATGATTTTCCTTTTGGCTTAATAGGTTTTGGCTTATATTATATCGGCTTAGTGGCCTCATATTGCGTCGATTGGCGAGAAAAGAAGTTTTTTTTTGTTTTTGAAGGTGAGAGGGAGTAAATAACTTTTTAGTAGTTTTAATGTTTTTTGAATATTTACTGGCTTTTGAATTAATTTTTTTTTTCGGTGCAATAAGATTTGGCCTATTTAAGATCGGCTTAAGGTCATTATATTGTGTCTTTTGAGGAGCGAAAATGTTTTTGTATGTGTGTGTGTGTTCCCACGGTGAGGGGGACTTAATAAACTTTTAGAAGTCTTGTTGAATTTTTTTTCAGCTTAACGGGTTTCTTCTAAGGTCTTTTCGGCTTTGGTATCGCTTGGTGAATTTTCTATTGATATCAATTTTACATTCTATTGTCTTGATTGTTTTGTTTCAAAAGTAGCCTTATTCATTTTGATAGATCTAGCTTTTTCGGTATTTTCGAATTTGTTTTTCGACCTAACGGCTTTCATATTTTGTATCGCAAGTGGCGCGAAGCTCAGCTTCGCCTCCGTGTAAACATTTACAAGTAAAGAGTTCTGAACGAATTTTGCAATATATATTTCAAAACAGTGTCTGAATCCTCAAAGTTTACCTCGCAGTAGACCTAGCCCAATCTCAACCCCTCCAATCAAGAGTTTTCATTTTTGTTTGCTTTTCAGAAGGGTTGTTATTGGAAACAATAAAATGGACTGACATAGGTTTGGGAACCCTCGAGGTACGCAAAATTCTATACTACTCTTGCTAGTGCAATGGTAATTGGTCGAAATTCCGGGCCTACGTGCTCAATTTTTGTTTCAATTATGGGTGTTGAGTTTTTGCTCATAGTTAAAAGGACGGTCTGACTGAAGATCAAAGCATTCGGTTTGAACTCAAAGGGGGTACTTGGGTTAAACATTCTAAAAAATTATTGGTGATCATGATGGTGATCACTCAGGAACATGCCCCAGTATGTTTTCCAATAAGGTTTGCAGCCGGTTTCTAGACTCTTCTCCCATTATCCATTTCTTTCACTGAATGGTCAAAAATAAAATTGGTAAAGTTAGGTCCAGTTTATAATAAATTCATTTTCTGGAATCTGTGGTTTGACGGCAATGGTCTTTGGGTCAAGTCTGACAGGACCTGTTTTTTTTCGAACGGGACACATTCCGTTTCACTCATAATTGTCAGCTTAATATTTGTCTGCTTATGTTTTTTCTGCTTAGTTGCCTCATCTTAGAGTTTTTTTGTCTGCTGTTCGAGATTTACATTGTAGTTGCTTTAAGTATTTTGATTTAATTCTGCTGATTTATTTCTGCATTTTTTTTTCAATCCATTTCGCACAGAATAGGCTCAAGATGGGGGCAATTTGCTGCATGTTATTGGACTTTAACTGCTCGCGTTTTTTTAGCGCATGGTTTTTCTCGCTTTTTTGGTGGCTTATGTTTGAAATAAAATAGAGCATAACAATTGAACAGGCCCAATTGTGGTTTTCATGCCGTATCAAATCGGAATATACCCTTTTTGGGTTTGCAACTAGTGCAACAAAATCAGTTGAATCGTTTGCTATTGAGATGCTGCTGAATCACTTGACTGAAGTTGATGTGCTACTGACATGATTATTTTCATGAAAATTCAAATTTAACTACTGGGTGCAATGTTTGTTTGTGGGAACTTCCTCGGAATTAAATTTTTTTACGCCTTCATGGAATTCGTCCCAAATTTTTGTCGGCTTACTTGCCGGATGTATTGATTTTTTTGATACTTTTATCCATTCAATGGTTACACAAGATTTTCGTCCGTCTGTTTTTTTTGTCCGTCTGTTTATTTTTGTCGACTTAGATCCCGTATCACGAACTTTCGCTAGATTCTAGATTCAGCTTCCTTTTTTAAAATCTTTATGAATACCACTACTGGTAGTACTTAAGTCGCAAAACTTCTTGCGGAAATTTTGTTACTTTGTTGAAAATTTATCGAAAATATTTGCTTTGTTCAATGTGCACGAAAAAGTCACCTTTTTTGAATGAACGAAACCAACTACACAAGAAACTCTGCTAAAAACTTAAATAATGCAATCATGAAAAATCTATCTCCTTTTTTAATTTCTTCGTTGAAACTTATCTGCTACTTCTTGAGGGCCATGCTGTTTACACTTGCGAAGCTTATTAGTAACATGTGAACCTTCTTTTTTCCAACCTAAGTCTCAAATACTGGTGCGGCACCCCAGTAATGGTGGGGTACTTTTACCGCTTTTTGATAGCATGTGCTTTGATATTCGATTAATAATAAGTTAACACAATTGATGCATTTTTAATTCATCAAATAAACCGAAAAAAGTGATCTGTTTCAAACAAGTTTCACACAACTTAACATTAATGAAAACTCGATTTCAGAAATTTTCTAACTCAATATATCTCGCAATTTTTTGAATGCATAATTTATACATAATATGGCTTTATGCTTTGCGATTTGTTACATACAAACTTAGTGTGGATGTCTTCAGTTTGTAAGTTTGTCTTCATCAGTTTGTCTTCATTCCAAATTATTACATGCAAAATTGAGTCTATTTGTATTTAGTGCCACTTTTGCTGAATGTTTTAGCATATGTAGCTGCTTTTTTGTGACTAGTGTTTGTCGGTTGTTAAGTTTGCGTTGCTGAAAGGAAAGTGTGTAAGACTCAAAATCCCTTGATTGAAGTAGGTCGCAGATTCGAGTATTACACGTAGCTAAGTTTTTGCTAATTCGAGGCTTGTTTCTACTTTTTCTTATTTCACTTGATAGAGCTGCTTTTTGGTCGTGTTATTGCAAGTGTTTGCGAAGCGCAGCTTAGCCTCTGCGTTTAATCCTGTTGCATCGCAAGTCGTGCGAAGCTCAAATTCGCCTGTGTGAAAAAAAAATGGTTAAACTGTTGATGGAGAGAATATCAAATACCTTATATGCCATCTTTATTGCTTGGTTGAAAAATATCGGAGAAATATAGAAATTCAAATTAGGTCAAACGTTCTTAATTTCAGAATAAAATGTTTTCAAAAACCACAGCTGGCCTGGAATGGAAATGATATGCTGCATGCAAACAGATAAATGGTTAGTGAATATTGAATGGGTTTTTTTTCTGAAAAACTGAATGGAAAGTTCTGTGCTTTTTAACTTAGTGCTTTTAAGAAATTGAGTAGCAAGTTATTGTAGTGAAGATTGACTCTTGTGTTGTGGAGTGTTAGGCGTGTGGTTTTAGGTAGTGTTTCACCCAGGAGGAGCAATGTTCCCGAGTCAAAGTACTTGGAACAACGGGGACATGAGCATAGGTGAGCTGGGCTCTTCGCTCATATCGGCTGCAGACTTCCATCATCAGCAGCAGGCGGCGGCCGCTGCACTCGGCGTAGAACAGCTTCAGGACAATGGCACTAACCAACAACCGCATACACCCCAGCAACACCACCAGCTGCCGCCGCTTCACAACCCAAATGTCCTCTCATCTGTGGCGCACATGTTTAAACAGACACCCCCAGACGACCCGACAGAGTACATGCCAGAAGCCAAACGATTAGCATACGCCCCAAGTCCTTTTGTGAATAAAAGTCCGGGCAGTCCTTACTGTGAGAACGGCTCAATCTCTAGCTCTCCCATGAGTGTGGCCGCTGCGGCCTCGTCTCTAGAGGCGTATCATCAGGCTCTTCAGCCCCAACAACATCCCCTGGATCCCTCAGCATTCGACCAAAGTGTGGTACGCACGAACGATCTGGCGTGTGGGGGAGTTGCCACTGCTGCCGGACAGCTGGCTCCTCCTCCACCTGGTCACTACTCGAGCCAGCAGCAGCAGACACCCCACTCAGACCCCTTCAACGCAGTCTCACCATTCACGCAACACTCTTCCACGCCCGGCCATCCTCTGACACCTAATGCGGCGGCCATGCTGGCTCAACAGCCCCCACACTCTCAGCAGTCGCAACACAACGACATGGGTAGTCACGTGCACTCGGCCGCGATGGGCGGACAGCCGCTGCCGAACGTCTCACAGCTAACTGCAAATTACCCACCAATGACCGGCTCGCCTAGAAATTACCTCACACCATCTCCCATAGGTTCTGCTGCTGGAGGCGATGTATCTTCAGCTGCCCTTAACCGGTACGCTTCTGCAGCGGCCGGAGGCGGCACTCCCCTGTACTCACCACAGAGTCTGGCCAATCAAGCGAGTAGGCCGCTAAGTCCAGTCATATTTGCTCACGCACATGGTCCCCCGCCGCCTCACTACCTGCACACAGGTCTTCCAACTCATCAGATGATGTCATCCATGGTGCCCCACCCCTCCCAGTTCCACCCACAGGCAGCGGCCGCAGCAGCCGCCCACGGACTCGGTCCCGCCTCCCTCATGCGCATGGGCTTCCCTTACAGGCTAGTTTTTCTTCGGTCCTATCTTTTCACTATCTTATCAAGTGTTTATTGATTAGTTTTGTATCCGCGCTCACATAAACGGTCATCTGCTGTCGGGCCAAGTTCAAAGTATTTTTCAAGTACTCAAAGGGGTTTTATGCGTTAAAATTGTATCAGTTGATGCAATTTTTCTTCCTTGTACTAGGTTGTAGGTTGAGTAATGTGTAACATATTTCATTAACAGGTACCCTCCGTCTCCGTACTTCGACTTCAGGAGCGGGGGGCACCCCCCGTCGCCATATCACACGTATCACCAGCTTTCCAACGGGCCAAATGCGCCTCCCTTCTTCCGAGATGAGTTCATCAAACCCGGGAGGAAGTCGAGCGGGTCCGGGGGAGGGGGTGGAGGAGGGGCGGGGGGTGCGGTGTTTGCCCAGATGCAGACGAATGAAGTGATCACGTTAGGCGACGTGTGTGACATGAAAGAGCCTGACGATCTCAGCAAGATTGTGCTGGCCAATTGCGATGAGCTTCTAGAAGAGAGGGGCGGTGTGAAGGACTTTGCAACGCGTGTGCTGGAAATTGAGAGCAGACTCTGCTTCTCGCTTCTAAATTTACGACTGAGCGACCCCGTAATGTACATCTACAACCCACTGGACTATGCCAGACAAATACACCAGACATTTGTTCTCAAGTGGGGCTCGAAACCGAAAAGGGTCCTCTTTCTCGGAATGAACCCTGGTCCCTTTGGAATGGCTCAGAATGGCGTAAGAACTAATCTGTGATACAGTTTGGCTCACCTTTTTGTGTCAAAACGAAAGAGAACAGCTTTAGCTATCTGGCGCCGATTTTTGAAAATTCGTAGTATTTGCTTATAATTTTTTTTCTAAACGGCTGGCCTTCAAATAGGAGTGCTTACACTGGAGAGCTTGCTCGCGTTTGTGTGTTAGTACGAACTTCTTTTTTTCCAACCTAACTCGCAAATAAAAGTGTTCATTAAAAGTGTTCAATTATTTGGTGCCACTTTCGCTATAATCACGATCTGTAGCAATGGAAATTTCATAGCATTTGTTCTCTGCTTTGTTTGTGGCTAGTGTTTCAGTTCTTTGAGCGTCAGTAGCACAGATGCGAGGACGTGAGTTTCTTAGTCTCGAGGTTTGATTGCAGAAACCTTCGTTTTTAAAGGCATACGTGCTTTTTTCCTTAGCTCGCTTTTTGCCTGTCTAAAGCCACTTTTTGTCACTTTTTTGCTTGTGTGAAGACCTTATATAGGTCGTGATGATTTTTCTTTCTATTTTTTCAGGAAATCCTAAAGTTCGATGACGCAAAATTTTGATCTTCAGTGATTTGACTTGATTTTTTTTTCAATTCAAATTCATTCACTATAAGGAAGATATAACGCTCTTTTTTACGAAATAAGAAATGGCGCGAAAACCTATGAATGACTTTGAGGTTCGGTAGATTTCTTAACGGAATCATATATATAATAAAGAATTTTTTCATCCCCAAGCTATATCTTATTTTGCAATGCTTTAGTTTTTTTTTTATTTTCTATCCTAAATTCCTTGTTTTTTTCACCAAAATTAGTATCCCAATATTGGGTTCCTCCGAGGGTTTCGTTTTAGGTCAAACCCAAACCTTTCGGAAGTTTTCATGAAACTTAGATTCCCCAAAATTTGAAGTTCTCAGCTCTGTAGTTCGGTATTTTCCGGGAACTTTCAGGGATTGCAAATCTGGCCTCAAAAGATGACTGCTCGAATTCATTTAGTTTCCGAGAGATGACGTTTTTCGTGTTTTTTAAAAGTACTCAAAGAACTTAGATATGAAAAAATTATATAAGTTGAAATTCTCAACCCTAAAGTTGAGTGTTGTCAGGGTACTTTCAAGGTGTGCAATTCTCGCCTCAAATTTTGACTGCTCAAATCTTTTTAGTTTCCGACATGACGTTTTTATAGTTTTTCAAAATATTTTTAAAAAACTTAGATCTTAAAAACTTACAAAGTTTGAATTGTTTAACATTATGTTGGGGTGCTCTCAAAGTTTTCTCAGGATGTTTATCTGCAGGCCAAATATGACAGATCAACGCCTTTTGTTTTCTTAGATATGACGTTTTTATTTTTTCTAGAAAATTTTCAAAAGTTAAATTCCAAAAAACTTACTTGTCAATATTTGAGTTTGTCGACGGTTTGGTGGGCTGATGTCAGGTTACTACCAGCTGATGTAGATGTGGCCTACCATCCTAATATTGTTGCTCAATTTTTTTGAATTTGGCGTTTTGGTATTTCAAAATTTTTCATTAAACTTACAATAAGATAGCGAAAAAAGAGTGACATTTTATGATTAATTAAGCTGGATTGTGAAGCCCATTTATGAATTTGATAATTTTGCATATGAAATTGTTGCATTTTTAAAAAAAATGCAAATTGCAGTTTTATGCTCTCGGCGCATTTTGAAGTTCAAATTTTTTAAACTTGATCTTATTTTTTACTCGAGAATTCAAAAATGATAAAAAGTTTTCAATCATTTTTTTTTTCGGTTTACTTGTTCGCTTGCACTTTTCGAATCTTGTTTTGGCTATTTTTTCAAGTTATTAGCTTTGCTTTTTTTCTGGCTGCGGGTTTGGAGTGTTGTTTTTATGTGGTATCGCAAATGGTGCTTTTCCTCTGTGAAAAAGTTGCTCCGATTAGATTATTCGCAAATGAAATTTTGATTAGTTCATTTCGCTTGTTTAAAGGAAAAGAAACTCCACCAAAAAGTTGCTTAGATTGTTTTTGCTTATATTCAATTTGTTTTTGATTATTCAAGTATTCTTTAAAACGTAATTTTTCAAAAAAAATCGACTTCCGTCTCTTTCTTTCTCTTCATCTTGTATTTCGATGTTTCTGTTGTAACGCTAATTATCCGAAGTTCCGCTTCACCTCTGTATTGAAATTGACAACTTTTCTAATAAAACTTGAAATAGTAGGATATCGTTTGCCTGCGTACTGTTTAATTCAAATCACAATGAATGATATTCTTCTGATTTCACGATTTTCTTTTTAACTGAAAGTCGTTCTGTAAATTGTATTTTGACAAGTTTTGACTTCGTAGAGTTTTCTCTAGGCTTACGATAGCCAGTATGTTCACGATAGCCAGTATGTTTGCCGCTGACTAGACTTATTTTCCCTTATATTACTTAGTTCACAGAATGGTCAAAATTAGAAATTGTAAATTTAGGTTTAATTAACAATGAATTCAAATTTCTTGCGTCTGTGACCTACGTGATCTGAAGGTAAAGCATACGCCTGGGACCTTTAATGTCGTGAGTTTGAATCTGACTGGATTTTTTTTTCAAATGGGAAGTTTTCTGTTTCAAAATTGTCGGCTTATTATCTGTCTAGTTATGTTTTGTCGGCTTAGTTGCCACATTGTAGTTGATTTTTTGCTGTTCGCAATTTACTTTATAGCAGTTTTTTGTTTGATTTATTTCTGCTGGTTATAATTTAAAAAGCCTTGATTTCGAATATTTTTTAGAGTAATGAACGTAGTGAGCACTCTCATATTGGTCTTGGTGAATTTTAGCTTTTTTTCAGGAAAAAGTTTTAAGTTTATTTACTCTCATCTTTAATTTTTTCGCTGTTTGACTTACGATTTCTCATTCAGTTCACTTCATATCTTGTGTTAAAAAAGGAGAAAAACAGTAAAATGTATAAGTCACGAAAAACGTGATCGAGTTCTAATTTCGAAAATGGAATTTAATTATCAGATTTCCCAGTGAAATAAAAATTTTACCTGTAGATCGAGTTTTCTCAAATTGGGTTTGTTTTTTCTTTTTCGAAAAAAAAATACTTATCACAAAATGTTCGAGAAATTTGGAGAGCTTTAAGGGCTTATGTTTTTTCTTTAAAGTTCGAAAGTTGAAGTTTTAAAAAAAAAAACATTTAAACAAAAACGTTCGTCAATCTTTTCCAACTCTTCCGACTGACTCGAACATGTTTTATTAGTTTCTGTGACTTTTTGATTTTTTTTTGGCTGAGTGGCTTCTGTCGCTTTTCTATCCTCTATCTTGCTTTGATATATTTGTGTTGTATCGCAAAGCTTACGAAGCTCCGCTTTGCTTATGTTTAATTTTGCAGCGCTTTTGTTATCAGGACATTCTGTGCTACTTGCCCTTTTTTCAATAAACTTCTTCAAACTTATATAGTTAAATTAAAATTTTCTTAAGTCAGGATTTGTTCAGAAATAAATCCAGTCAACTGGAATCGTTAAGAAGTCAAAAGCCCTGACAAATTTTCGAACGAAAATAAATCGGTTTCATTTGTTTTCCTAAATGTATCAAAGGATTTTGATGACAGTGCGTTTTCCTTTTAAATCTTTTTTTTTTAGTTTTATGCTCTAACTGATCAATTATTACCTGATATGAGTTCTGTTCTGCGTGAAAAAACTATTACTTTTTGAAATATCTACAAAGAAATTGTCGTCGTAATTTCCTGTGCTACTTAGACAGCAACCGAGTACCCTACTTGCGTTTTTTTGGCTTACAAGATTTTCCAGTTCTATTTTCAGACTGCTTCCTTGTTCGCTCATTATTTTGCGAGCGCATAGAAGCAACACTGATATTTTTGCGGTTAAATCAATCCCAAGTTCAATTCTGATCCGTTGTTTGTTCTAATAATGAGCGCAGAATAGTGCAGCAGTGTAGTGTAGCAACTTAATATTACAGTCGAACGCTGGCCGACCCGCCCTATATAAAATACCAGTAAGAGTGTTGTAGCGGGGTAGGGAAAAGAGAGCGAGAGAGTGTGGGTAAATATGAAGGAGGAATAAGGAAAGGGACAACCAGGAGCAGCGTCATCGATAACAGGCTGAATTTGCCCCTTTCGTTTCTCCATGTTCTTTCTGCTTGCTATTACTACTATAACTACTACTTTTCTGTTTCGTTCGTTCGCAGTTTGTATTTGGGTGTTGTGTTGTGTTTGTTCTGTTCTGCTTGTGTATTCTTTCTCTTCAGCTTCAGCACCACGTGACCACATGGCCTGCCTCCTCAGCAAATCCCAATCATAACCAACCCATCATCCATAATACCACAAACCATAACCAACACCCCCTCCTCCCTCCCCCCTCCCCTCCACTAATCACCCACAGCAGCTCCAAATTTAATTGCACTAGTCTCATCTGCTACAGTTAAGCGCCACTTCAGCACAGCTAGGCAAAATAGAACAGAACAAGTACAGCCAAATCAAACATACACCACACGCACAGCAGCAGCAGAAATAAATGAGATGAAAATGTTGGCGATTGGATGGATTATGAATTAATGATAGCAATGGAAAATAAGAACAAGTAAAACCTAACCAGTTATATTCTTCTTCTTTTCTTCTTTTAGAGCGAAAGACAACTGCGAACTAATGGCGGCAACATTGCATGCATCATCTCTCCTTCTTTTCTTATACTTATGGTTTCCCCTTTTCATTCAGATGAACTTAAAAAAAAACTTGGACTCAATAAATCAACGGAATTGGGCACGTATCAAATGGTCGATCCAGCTCTCTTACCGGTCTGACAGTTGCAGATGATGTATAAATAGGTTTCAAACTAAGTGTGTAGCGGCGTGACCAAAGGCTGCCTTTTTGAATTATTTCATCGGATAGCATCAGGCAGTTGTTTTGCAAAATATATTTTTTGTCTCGAACTTAAACCAGTAAAGTAATTTTTATAGCAGTTAACTTGGGGCAGGTTAACTGATACGCCGAGAGGAGCTTTAAATGAAACGAGATCTCACGACCGTGCATTATGCTTGCTCAGTTTTATTAGGAGATGATGCTACACTAGTCAGCGGTCGGTCGGTTCCATGGCAGACATGTGACCTACTGGCGGCCATTGAGAAATGAGATGTAGGCTAGGTGGTGTACGGTAGGATGGAACAATAGTTCGCATTAGAATAAATAGAACATAGAATGGAATGGCATTGGAGGCAGACCGACCGTTCTGGTGCTACTCAAATAGCTTTTTTAGTTCAAGATAAGTTCAATATAATTTATTCTATCTCTTTCTCTAGATTCCATTTGGAGACGGTCAGTTTGTGAAGAACTTCCTGAAGCTGGAGAAAGGGACGGTGACGAAGCCGGCGAGAGAACACCCGAAGAGGCCTATTTGGGGCTTGGAGTGTCCCCAGCGAGAGGTTTCCGGGTCCCGTTTCTGGAGTCTGGTCCAGTCCATCTCCGGACACCCGGACACCTTCTTCGACAACTGCTACGTGTACAACTACTGTCCTCTCGTGTTCCTAGGCATGTCTGGTAAGAACATCACGCCTCCCAGTCTAGGCTCGTCGGCGAGAGAACCCCTGCTGCAAGCGTGCGACAAGGCTCTAGTGGATATCGTGAACTTGATGGGCATTGAGAAGATTGTAGCAGTGGGAAGATTTGTGGAAGAAAGATCGAAGCTGGTGCTGAAAACGGCCAACAGAGAAGACGTTGAAGTCATATTCATAATGCACCCTAGCCCCATCAACCCCAAAGCTAACGCTGGCTGGGAGGGAATTGTTAAAGGACAACTAGAAGAAGCCAAAATAGCGCATTTCTTCCCCCATTTTTATAACCCAATCCCTGTCACCTTCTCAACTACAGCCCAAACAACACAGAGTACCTCGGCTTCAGGATCCAGCACGACCTCCAACGGACCCAGTTCTACTGGAACCAATACCACGGCCGCCGGTTCCAGATCCACAACGTCAGGCGGCACAGCCTCGTCTCAAGCCCAGTCCCAATCGAGCACTAAAGTAAGCCATAGTAGTTCCAAAGATACGTGCATTGTGTCAGCATCCGCTGCCAATCAGCATAGCTCTTCTAATTCTACTTCTTCTCTTAAACGAGAAAGCGGAGGAGACAGCAGCAGCAGGGAATCGGGAACAAGGCATGGTGCAGCGGGACACTCGTTAGTTGGTCAACTGTCAATAGCGAGTGAGGCATCAACATTTGCTGACGAATTCATTAAAGCAGAAGTGACCATAACCAGCAATCAGGTGGCCAATCATGTGCAGTCCTCCCAGTCCCGTGCCACTCAGCAAAACAATGCAGCCACCAATAACAATAACAGACCAGGGGGGCCAAAAGACTCGCGGGGGGGTATTCACACGAAACAGGAACCTCATCCAGATCCACTTGCTCCGCCGCCGGCGCAAAGTGCGGGTAACACGCTCGCAAATTGCAATGTCAAGCAAGAACCAGGCACGGAAAGAAGTGCAATAGATCATCTGATCGCGTCAACGCAGGCCCAACAACACCACCTAAGTCTGAATCATCCTTATGCTAACAGCCAGACGTCACCAGCGGCGGCGGCCGCCACTGCTTTCCAGCCAGGGTCCAGTCAATCACCTTTTCACACTACACACAACCAGCAGGGTATGAGAATGAACGGGGAGCGAACAGGGACAGGGGGAGATGTGGGAGCGAGCGGGGACAGTAGCCAGCAGCACGTGCAAGTGGCAGACCAGCAACAAAGACAACAACACGCCAACCACAATCTCTTCTTCGGATCCAGTTCGCCGCACCAAGTGCAACACAAACTGGCATCCTTCCAGTCAAATATGATGGGGGCAGCCCCCCAGTTGCCTCAACATACTTCCCCCTCCTCATCTCCGCATCCATATTTGGGAGGCTACGGTCACATGCCGCACATCATGCAAAGTCCACATTCCCACTTCCACTCTTTTCCCCCCGTTAGTCACGCCTACGGCCACCCGTCAATGGGACCCCCGATGAACTATGCAACGGGCGCGGAGATGTACCACAACCCCCCGACATCCATGTTTGCCCAGCATCATCCCCACTTGATGCAGCCGCCCGGTGGCCATTTTGCACTAAACTCCAACTATGCGATGCAGCCACTGGACAGATCACAGGAACAGCAGCAGCACTTCGGATCCGCTCCTGAAAACAGCGGCGGCAGTGGCGAAATGGGCTATCAGAGTAATCAATCTGAATCAGCTGGAACCGACGCGGCAAATGGTATGAATATTTTTGCAGTGAACGGGGGATCGAACCAAGCGACGACGACACAGTTTGACTGCTACAACCCTGCTAATAACCCCAACACAAACACGCTATCGAGCATGTTGTCGTGAAGAGCACCACGCAACACACAAACAACTACACACCACACTCACTTAGTCATTCATCACTTAAAGAGAACCACCACTGTGTCACTGCTCAAAGTATCACAGAGTATTAGGAGGAGGCTAATGCAGCAGAGAAATGCACTTCTCTTTCGCCAATCACAAATCAACTGGACAATTCAGCTGATCAACAAATGCTTCATATGGAAACATGCCTCAAAACTTAATCAAAACTTCACTCCTTTTCTCCAAATAAGCTCGTCTTTGATTTAATTGCAGTTGATTCAAAACTTCCGACACTTTTAGACCTACGAGCTGTTTAAAATAAATCAAAAACTAGACAATGTGATTTCTGGTAAATTTTGCTAACTTAATTTTGTCGTTTTTGCTTATAGCTCCTTAAAGCGGTCGGAAGTAACAAACTTATGATTTATTTAAATAGTGAGTGAGCTAACTTGTGGGAGCATACTCTGCACTGTTTCTGAATGTAATAGTACAATGGAATGGAGCTGATAGCTGTTGTAGAACAACTCAGATTAGACAATACAACAACCTATGATGACATGAGTGGTTTGAATTAGTAGTGGTTGCAGTTTGAATGGTGATCGTGTCTGCAGGGAGGAGGGAGATTCTTCTCAGTTCACTTGCTGATTTAGTGAATGATCCGATCCAAACGCAACTTATGGTGACAGCGTCACAGCATAAACAAAACGAAATTGAGCTGGTCCAAAAGCGAAAGCGTCTTGCGCTGAACTTTTCATGCTGCCATGCGTTCGTTCGTGTTGCTGTGGTGCTTCGAGTATGCGAATAGCAAAGAGGTGGACATGACTGGTCGTTGTCGGTCGAAGGGTCAATGATGCCTCTGTTATCCATGATCACTTGCTACGATGTGTATAGGTCGCAATAATATAATATAATGTAATGTAATCTGCGTACACTTCACTATACATTGTCTCATCATTCTCACTTTAGTTGTCGTCCGAATAGTGCAATGTCTGCAATTAGTATTCTTCCTATTTTGTATGTATCTTTTTCTGTTCTATTCTCTTCAAACCTAGCCCCCCTAGTAGCCAATCAGTTGCCAAGTGCAGTGCAAAGAGGACAAACCCCCTTCTATCACCCTGTGGAACCTCCCTGTCCTGAACAAATGTTCACCTGATTTAATCACTCTTTCCCTCCTCCTCCTCCTACCTTGGCTGGTGACGCTATTTGCTTTGCTCTCCATGACAACTCTTCTCTCTCTCATCCAAGCTAGTTTTTTCTCTCCATCTCAAAAGAAACTCAACTAAATTAGATTTATTTTATTTTGTCATAATCATCGCTTTTCAACCGTCCTATTTAATTGCCAAATTATTTATTATTTATTCTGTTGCTTCGAACAGTGAGTAGTTTCGATTTTGATTCATTTTGATGTTATGATGATTAGCATTAGTTTTTGGGTCGTTTTGTTTTGAACCTGGTTCATAATATTGCTGGCATCATTTTGTTGGCTCTTTAAATTCTTCGCAGCTCCTCGAGAGCGTTTTGATGAGAATACGATTAGCTATACTTGTAAATACTATTTTACAAAGTTGTGATCTTAACTTAGTTGCTGCTACTCTTTTAATATTTTATTATAACAACAAATATTCGCATCTCTATTCAAATCGTGGGTCTTCAAAATGGTCTTCTTTTACTTTGACTGCAGTTGTAAGTTAGAACTGAAGTCGCATCTGGTTTTGCTAGTTCGCATTTGTTGTAGATTCACTTTGTGCAAGTCATTTGGCACAGGCTCAATCCTCCGAACATTGATCTGATTTGTGGATGAAATTCATCTAATGTGAGGGTTGATGTTGCCAGCAAATTTTGTTTTACTTTTGTAAATTCATTTGTATCAAATATATGGACGTTTAGCCAGAAAATTCATTTTATCTTACATTCATTTTGCAATAAGGAGCTTCGTGTTTAGTCTTAACTCTTAGATTGATGTGATTACACTTGTGATTAGCAAGCGAACGTTATAAAACCGGAATCTAGACTTTTTTGGATTAACAACTTGTTTAATAGAATCACTTGTATCTTGGTTCATAATGAATTCTTAGCGTTTACCGGGCAAATTAGCATGGGTTAAGTTAACGAATAAGCCTAGGACGGCAAAGTCCTGGGTTCAAATCTGACAAGGATTGGACTAACGAACTAGTTTTGTTTTGGGTCGTTTCAAGGAAAACACAATTTTAACACTCCCCTCTGCACTTTTCAAGTTGGTTGTATGTTTACCAATCGGTTTGTTGATTTTTTTTCCGTTATGTAAAACTTCTTCGTAATTCATTGGAAAAATATTAGTTTTTCCCAGTAACTAATTTTCAATGAAGGGGTATCAATTGAAAAACCGCCTACTCCCCAAGAGTCTCTTTTCACCTGACCCCTTTATTCACAGCGTTCGCAAAAGTCTGTTGCGGAATATTTGACCCATATTTTTGATTTTTTTTCTCGAAAACGACCCCTTTCATAATTGAGTTTTTGGTTTCAATGAATAGAGCGGCTTTGAAAAGCTCTTCGCAAAAGTGGCTACGTCCAAATTCTTATTGTCAATTTTTGACCAATTTTTGACCCTAGGAAAAGTCAATTTTTGATCGTTTCTTAAACTTTTTGAATGGTATCGAAAACTATCTGCCATATCTGAGATTTTGGGTTCAATTCAAAGAACGGGTTATGGGAAGCTTTTTTTGCTTATGTGACTACGTCCACATTTTTCTGACACCAAAAGTTATGGCCCTCAGAAATTTTGATTTTTGACCGTTTTTCTTTTACTGAAAATATTTGACTTTTCTCGAGAACTACCCTTCCAAATCTGAGATTCAAGCTTCAATCGAAATAAGAGTTTGCGTGAGTTCCTTCTACATAAGCGGCTTCGCTTTGATTCTCGGAAATGTCAAATTTATGGCTTGTTGAACGTTTTTTCGACTTTTCTCGCTAACTATGCTGCCAAGACGGATATCATTGCTTTAATCGAAACAGCAGAGTGTTGAAAGCCTACGTTTTTAAACGGCTATGCCCAGTTTGCTTAAGAAAAAAATCATGGCCATAACACCAGTCAAAGTTTTGAAACTGCGACAGTTTTCAAAAAAATTTGGCCTTACGCGAAAAACACCTCCCAAATTTTAAGGTGGTGTTTAATCAAAAAACCCGGTTTCCTGAGTGTGGGAATATTTTCTGCTTAAGCGGCCACCACTTGCTTGTACAGAAAAAAAATATATGGATTTTGGAAACTTTTTTATAACCGTTTTTTCTTAGAGTTTTCTACTTTCATAGAAATTCTTTGATTTTTTTTAGTTTACGCAACCAAATCTGGAATGAAACGTTCAGTTGAAAGAACCGGTTGTGATAAATGTTCCTGCCGCAGCAGTGACGCCTTAACTTTTCGTAGGAGAAAAGTTAGCTCTTGAGAAAATTGATCATCTCAATTTTTTACTCTTCGTACTGATTGTAGTAGAGAAACAACTAAGGTTTTAAGCAAAGTCCAAATTTTGAAATGACATTTTTCGTGACGCATCTCTACGGCATTTTAATTCAATGTCAAACTCGGGACTCCAGCGTTAGCTGGGCTCCTAGATGTTTATCGTGACCTATGAAAGCTTTGGTTTACATAGTTATTTTTAAGGGTAATGAAGAAATATAAACACATTATAGTTCTTGCTGATTTTTTTTTTCAGGAAAACGTCTTAAAATATTGATGCACTTAGGTATAATGCACTTTTTGATTTCGACTGAATTCATCTGCTGGAAGTGACCTAAATAGAACTCTCCAAATAGGAATGTAGAAATGGCGCAAAAAAAACGTGAACGATTTCTAGTTTCGAAAGTGGAATTTATTTTTAAGATTTCCCAGCGGAATAAAAACTTTTCCTATTGATCCAGTTTTCTCAAGTTGGGTTCACGTTATCAAAAAAGCACCAATCATAAATTGTTCCAAAAAGTGCTGAGAGCTAAAAGGGCATCTATTTTTTTCTTTGAAATTCGAAAGATTTTTTCAAGAAAGTCAGTTTGTTTTTTTGTTTACTTGCGGTCATTACTCTTTTCCAATCTTTGATTGGCTATTTTTTCATGCTCTCCTGTAAAACTTGCTCTCCTGTACACATATGAAAAGTGTGAAAAGAGTTAACTATGCGAATGTTCAGGTTTGGGCTCTACCGCTCGGTTGAGTTGAGGTTATGACAAAACTGCTCGAGTCAGGGCAAAGTCTTGAAAAATGCGACTGCCATTGAACGTCTTTAAAACAGTTTTTTGATAACATCATTGAGAAAGTGTTAAAGGTAAATTTTGTTTTGGGTTTTTGAAACTCGCTCACACACGCTATGCCCAGTACAAAATTATTTTTTTTTGCGTATAGTAATGTAATAATAACACCAAACCTGATCTCAATTCAATTTGAAACAATTTAAGAGCGGAATAAAAATCCGCTCACGCGCTAATAGCGAGAAATATCTCATGCGTTAATTGTCCGTATAGGCAATTTCAAACTCGTGCCTCCAGCTTTAGCTGGACTCTTAGATGCTTGTCGTGACATACGAAAACTCCAATAACTTTCAACAAATGATTATAAAAAAATATCTATTCAAACTTGTGCTCAGAATATAACTGATTTTCAGGTGATAAAATTGTTTTTGTAATTTTGTTGAAAAGTGGAGAAAAACCACCCGAGCACAAATATTCTATCATTTTCTTCGAAATTCGGACTAATTACGTTTGCGATTGGTCTTTTCAGTTCATTATCTTTTTAAAGTGTCGATGATGAATGTACAATGACACGTATAACGTTGTCATGATTTTTTTCAAGATCAAGTCATTGAATTAGATTTTAAGTTTAAATTTGATTTTCGCGGCTTGACTTCGGATTTCTTTAGAAGTTCAATTTGTTTTCATTTGCTAAGAGGACGGCAAATATAGCCTTTTAATCATGAAAGTTCAAATTGTACAGCGAAACCTGCATCAATTCTGGTTTGAACAATAGAACAAAGTTTTCTTCATTTATAGCGGAAAAAAATCTATCGATCCAGTTTTCTCAGTTTTGGTCAGTTTCATTTACAAAAAATGAATCGTAGGATAATCATAACTTTCATAGAGCTACAAGGTGAAAAAAATAAATTATCTGAAGCCCGAGGATTTAATCTTTAAAGCTTTTGCGAGCTCATTGACACTTTTACAGTTGACTGTAGGCTGTGAATACACTTGTCTTGTAATCAGGAACTAGAATTTTTTCCGTCAACAACTTTTTTTTACATATCCTTTTCTTCTTTTCTTTCTTCTTTTCGAGTCCTGGCCGGAGTTGGAGTCGCTTTTTGTTTTCTCTTCGAGTCCTGGCAGGGGTTTGAGTTCTGGCCAGATTTTTTTCAGTATCAAAGAAGTTGGAAAAAAAACAATCCGAGAAAAATTGAGTTGTCAATTGTCGGCTCAAGTTTTTTCGGCTCAAGTTTTGTCGGCTAATTTGCCACATAACAGTTTTTGCTTGTGCTGTAATAAATTTACTCTGCAGCTGCAAGTGCAATTGTTTGTTGCATTCAATTTTCAGAAGGGGACTGGAAATATTTTTAAAAATCATGTTTTTTCTTTCCGTTCTGTTTGTGTCTGCTTAAAGATTGTCTGCTTTGTTTCCCCTTTCATAAATGTTGTTGTTAACTTCCGTTGTTAATCCCCAGAATAAAATTCTACCGAGACAAGCAAAAATAAAAATTTCGGCGGATCATCTATTTTTTTTTCCGACTTCTAGTGTTTTTGTTCCGTAAGTAACGGAATATTCGTGCTCGGGGTGAGTTTTTTTCAGACAAATTTCGACTAGTCATTTTTGACGGATTTTTTATAAACATTTGAAAAATATTGTTGTCTTGAGGTTAAGTTCGAAAAGATATTTCACCTGTCATCATTTTTTGTAACGTTATGGGGGTTTAAAGATTGCCACTTTGACCAATTTGGGACAATTAACGCGCGATTTATTTCGCGCTTTTAACGCGTCAGCGAGATTTAATCCGTCTTAGAAATCGTTCCATATTGGTGCAAGGAATCTTATTTGCCATAAATGACTTGTTACTCGAAGCGATTTCTTAATATGACGTGTGGGCAGGGGCTGATTTAGGGAGGGGGCGGCGGGGGGATGGGCGGACGCTCCCTTCCACTCTGGGATTCGACCCCCTGCCGACCCAAAGGGTCCCCCCTTTGGTACTTTTAAGAAATCCAGTTTTGGCCGACCAACCCTAAAATTTTTCTAAAGGCGTCTTTGGCGCCAATATATACTAAATTTAAGGGGGAGCGCGCGCCGAAAAAACGCAATTTTTTGGTCAACATTTTCCAAAAAGTGACTAAAAATGCCTTTTCTGGACTGTTTTTTCAAAATTTTGCCTGCGGCACAGAAAATTTGGCCAAAATAGGGACTAAACAGGCTTAGGGAGAGCTCGAAAAATCAACTCGGTCGACCTAAAAAAAGCTCGACAAAAATTTCGAAATTTTTTTGAAAATTCTCCCCCCCCCCCTCGAGAAAATCCTAGATCCGCCCCTGCGTGTGGGGGATGTTTTACAAAACATCTAAAGTTTTTTTTTCAATTTTCCAATTTTATTTACATTTAAACTTTTAAGTTATTACTGCTCCCTAGACCTTAAAAGGCAGTCGGAACATTCAGCGCTTCGCCCTGATATGAGCAGTCTTCTCTATGTTTCGGTTGTATTGCAAGTGGCGTGAAGATCTGCTTCGCATCTGTGTAGAAACTTTTGAGTTTATTTTGTCGCTTTCGTCGTCACAGTTCTATCCACTAGCTCCGCTTTGCCTCGGTGTTTCAAAAGTTTTGAATCTCAATACACAACATACTGCATGGTGGTTAACATACATACTGCTTAGTTAACTTCATGGTTTAGTAAATAT